AAAGCATATTTGCAATTTCATCTCTGTCTTGTACTATATACTATGTCTGTGTATGAACTGGAAACACAAATAGCTTCACGTTTGCAGAGGAATTTGACTTTCTCTATAGCCTGTTTTCAGCAGGGAGACTCTTAATGTTTGACTTATCTGTAACATGATATCAGAAATTACATCACAATACATCCCATGCCATCATGGAATTGATTAAAATATTTTTCATTTTGCTGACTTACTATACTGTTAATCTTAGCATTGGATTGAATCCATCCCTCCATTTAAACACCGTTATTAACCTCTCACCTATACATTTTCCTTTTGTGCCATGCTCCCTGCACGATGTTTAGGTAAATTAGAGTAAAGCCTTTTTCTAGAGCAGACGCAGGTATTGGTTTGAACTTTCAATTGTAATTTATTCATGAAGCAGAGAGGTTGAGGCTGGCAGTGCTATGCATCATTCTGTCAGAAGGACTTTTCCTCATCCGCAAAACAACTACTGTACCAGAGACAAAACAAATCATTTGCCACACAGCCTAGGACATCGAGCCAAGAAAACCCTCGACATTGTGAAAAATGTAAAAAATAAAAAAATTATATATACAGTATGTATGTATGTCTAAAAAAATTATATATATACAGTATATTTATGCAGTACATATATATATATATATATATATATATATGTATATGCATACACATATATATACTGTATATATATATATATATAATATATATACACATATATATACTGTATATATAATTGTTTTTTTTTACGTTTGTCATCATGTCGAGCATTTTCTTGGCTTGTTTGTGGATTTGTAAAAAGGCTAAAATGTTCAATGAGATGAATCAAATATACTTAAAGAAGTGTGGGTGTAACTGTTTGGTCTTGTAAGATGTTTGAATTTTGTAATTGTTACAAAAAAGTTGTATTTATGAATATCATATTACCTGGGTAGTTAAAGTGGAACTAAACTGTCTCTTACAACATGGACTATGTTTAATCCTCATGCTGCTAGCATTAGTAAATAGACAGGAAGGTATATTATATTTACTTTTTTAAAAAAAAATTTAATATTTCTTCTGTTACTTCCCTTCATGGGCATTTTGAAGCAATCACACAGTGAACCCCATAAAACCTTTCCTCAATCCAATACTTCACATAGTACATTGTATTGATGAGAGTAAGAAAAAAGGAAGGCATCTTCTCCAACACATTTAGCTGGGTAGGCTTCTTCGGGGGTTCGATTAGAGTACACTGTTAATGTAAAACACACCATTAAGTACGTTCAAACAAACATTGTTGAATTTATAGAGCTTCATGTCTTTACATACATACAATATATTCCATATTCAAAGCTTACCAATACTGATGGTCATTGATGAGAAGGGCTGTCTTAATACATGGGTACCCCTGGGCGCTGCCCAAGGGCCTCAGGTGCATGGGGGGCCCCATGATAAACTTGCATTACATCATACTTGCAAACTGTCCTGGATTTGCTGGAACAGTCACACTAAGCTATTCCAGGATGGCCATGTCCTAGAACCTGTACTGTGCCCTCCTGATCCCAGTATGGTGCCATCTTAATCCCCTCCTGTACTGTGCCCTCCAGACTCCCCTGTATTGTGCCCTTCTGCCTCCCCAACTGTACTGTGCCCTTCTGCCTCCATGACTGTACTGTGCCCTTCTGCCTCCATGACTGTACTGTGCCCTTCTGCCTCCATGACTGTACGGTGCTCTTTGTGTTGATTAGTCTTTGATTGATGGCATGTTTTCTTAATGTTTAAAATTTATTTTTTATTAAATAAAGTACTATAAAATAGATATTTAATTCTACCAACTATTTATACTTCAATTCTTTGATCCCCAGTACCTTTGTCTGTGTTCCCTTGCTACTGTGATCTGCTGTTACTGATTTGGCTTGTTCCTGGACCTGTCTTCTCTTCCTGACTCCTGATCTGACCCTGGCTTGGCTAATGGATATTCTTCTTACCTGCTCTCTTGGCTGATTCTGACCCTGGCTTGGCTAATGGATATTCTTACCTGCTCTCCTGATCTGACCCTGGCTTGGCTAATGGATATTCTTACCTGCTCTCCTGATCTGACCCTGGCTTGGCTAATGGATATTCTTACCTGCTCTCCTGATCTGACCTGGCTTGGCTAAAGGATATTCTTACCTGCTCTCCTGATCTGACCCTGAAAAGGACCCTGGCTGAAATGGCTAATGGATATTCTTACCTGCTCTCCTGATCTGACCCGGGCTTGGCTGATGGTTATTCTTACCTGCTCTCCTGATCTGACCCGGGCTTGGCTGATGGTTATTCCTTACCTGCTCTCCTGATCTGACCCGGGCTTGGCTGATGGATATTCTTACCTGCTCTCTTGATCTGACCTGGCTTGGCTAATAGATACCCTCACTCGCTCTCCTGTATATGACTCTGGATATCCTATTGACTACGTCTGCTCCAATCTCCACCCCGCATCTGACTTTGGCCTGACTACTCTGTGGTCCTCTGTGGTCCTCTGCTACCCTAAAGGCCTGCATACCTCTCACGGATGCCACCTGTCTTCAGACACCATTCCAGTACATCAGCTATGCTCCTGGGTGTACCTCTGACAAACACTCCTACAGGCGACCCGTGCTACTTTGGGCCTGACTCCTTCTGTCCCATATCCAGGGGAGTCTGGAACTTAGCTGCAAGGGAAGCCCTCTCTCCATTGGCCTCTAACACCAGGTACGTGATATAGTGCAATATTCTAATCCCTCTTGTATTGAACTGTATTGTTGCTGTATTGTCTACCTTCATAATGTAAAGCACTGAGCAAACTGTTGGCGCTATATAAATCCTGTATAATAATAATAATAATTTTGTACTGTAATTACCAATATTGTCATTAACAGAGTATAATGCTTCTTACTTCTGTATTTCAAGTGTGTGTATATGTTAAAGTTTAAATTGACCTTAAAAGTAATAATAAATGAACATTTATTTTGCAGATTAAAAAAAACCATGCATTTATTTATCTATTTTTTGGATCCTGTAAAGCCGTGTACCCAGAATCAGCAGATCGTAAGTGTAATGTCCGGCTTCAGCCGATTGTCGGTGTAGCTGTTTGCCTGTACCTCCGATATGGGCAGACAGTTACTGAATGACAGGAAGCTCAACTATGATCATTCAGAGCCAATTAAGAAATCTAGATTACTTCCTGTGTATGGTAAACTTAAAGGACTTAAAGGATTGGCAAACTAAAATTGTATTATCTTTTTTTTTACTTAGTGTAGGCACAGTATAACATGTACAGTATTTTCTGGCATATAAGACTACTTTTTATACTTAAAAATATACCCTAAAAATTGGGGGTTGTCTTATACGCGGGGTATAAAATGTGAACCTTGAGTTTGTTTGGGTCCAGCTGGCTGGATGTGCAGTAATGTACATACAGTATACCGTGCTGAGCCAAGCTGGCTCAAAACAAATGTCCCTATAACAGATTAATCTGTCAGCACTCTGGATGTGCGGTATATACAGTATACTGCGCTGAGCCAAGCGGTTTCAAAACGTACCGGTACGTCCCTACTGTAATCAGCCCGCTGGATGCATGTATGTACGGTAGCTGTGGCTACATACAGTATACACTGGGCTAATCACGGCGAGTGATGTATTCTACTAATGAATACAAAGCCTGCTCGGATTGGCTGAGTCAGAGAGGTGGGCTGATGATGTCACAACCTCAGCCAATGCTGGAACCATGCTGCCTCTACTGGACACAGAAATCCTGCTTCAAACAGGCATGCAGGAGGTGGTATTTTGCCTCCTGATTGCCTCCTAACCATGTGTTCGCCACTGTTGTCAAAGTGATCCACCACAGATTACAAGTAAGCAGGATTGCCCACGTGAAAGGGGCCTTAGGACATACTGGAAAGATGATATTTGAATTAGCGGTATGATTCTGGATTGTGATAGGGGCCAGATTAAAGTGATTGTAAACCCTTATATGGGAGTTACTTGCCTCAGGTGATACACAGATGAAACAAATCATCTTGTATAAGGTGTACCTGTTTATCTGCAGCCCTCTATCTTCTACAGCAGCCTGGGGTGAATTGAGGTTTCTTCAGGGGTGCCTTGGCAAAATGTCTAAAAATCGCCCAAAACTTGCATACAAGCCACAGGGTGGAACAAGCCTGCCTTTTAGTTACACAAAGCCAAAGGTTTTCATTGCGCACCATTATGACCTTCTAGCCACCAGCATCCTGACAACCAATTACATCATCAACTGATAAGGAGGATGTCAGCTACCTGCACAGCATCCTTTTTTGCCCCTTCCCTGCCCCTCTCTGTCAGTGCTGGGGTCACATTAGCTCAGTGATGGAGAAAAACTGGGGGAGAAGAGAAACACTGGAATACTAGTCAGTACCAGTGTGCAAAAGTGTATTTGCTTTGGAAGAATAAATCACCTCTAATGTTGGGTGTCCTACATGTGTGGATGTTACTGTTAGATTAGTTTTTCACATTTTAGAACGGGTTGCCCTTTTAAAATTATGGACAGTCTTGAGGCATTTTTGAATGGGGTGCCTCGGGACTGTCCATAATTTTAAAGGGTGCCTTAAGACTGTCAATAATTTTAAAGAGTGTCTTTACTGAAAAAAGGTTGAGAAACATTGTTCTACAGCCTCCTAAAACATACATTTTACACAGCATTTCTGATCTCTAGCAGGTAAGGGGTGAGGATCTGATATCACATACTGCACAGCATAGAGCAGGGAGCGGAGTGTAATCTGACACCTGAGTGGAGGGAATAGACACACCCCCTACACAGTACCATATGGAAACTTGCACAGCTGGACACACTTCACTAGGCTAGGCTTCTCTGAACAGTCTGTATGCCAGGGACAAAGAAGAATGACCATAGTTGAGAGCCTGTAAGAGCAGCCTCAGTTAGAGACACCCCTGGCATTTATCACCCCAAAAATAAGACAGCACACAGTCACCAGGATCTTGAACTCACATGGTCACTGGACAACTTAACACTCTCCAGTTTCCTTCAGACACCTCTATGTCACAGGCAGGAACGGACTGATCATTCGAGCACTCGGGCACTGCCTGAGGGCCCGGGGTCAGTAGGGAGCCCCATGAGATGCTCCTGGTACCTTTCATAGGCTTTTTTGGGTGTGGTTTGAGTGTGGGTAAGGACACAGGGGCCCCATGATCCCCTATTGCCCGGAGGCCCCATGAGTTGTCAGTCCGCCCCTGTTCACAGGACAACTGCACAATTCCTAGCTTTCTCCAAGGTCTCTTTGGCTGCAGGATATCTACTCACTTCCAGCTTCTACCAGACACTCTTCAGAAAAGGAGGGGTTAATACTCACAATGCCATAGGAGACCTAGACACTTTCCAGCTTCCACCAGACATTATTCTGTAAGCTCTCCATACCAGATCCTTAGGTTAAGTTCCTTAGTTGGCTCTAAAGATACTTCCACAGCTGGGGCCTCGATGAACATCAGCAAAACTGCAGTAAAACAAAACTGCCTTGAAGAGGCTGAAGCTTCTGAGGCTGTAGAACTTCTCCAGCAAAAGAAGAACATGGCTGCTTATGACTCTTTTTATTTCTCCCCAGGCAGCTACTTAACATGTACAGTCTGGAGGAAATAAGGGAAAGGGGAGACATGATTGAAACCTTTAAATACATCAAGGGGATGAATAAGGTTCAGGCGGGCAGTTTCAACATGAAACCAAAATCAAGAACATGGGAACATGACCTTAAACTAACTGGAGAAAAGTTCAAAACTAATCTCAGAAAGTGCTATTTTACTGAAAGAGTAGTTGATGCTTGGAATAAACATCCAGGAGAGGCAGTGAGCCAGTCAACAGTAAACAGCTTGAAACATGCCTGGGAAAAGAATAGATCTATACTCAGACAAAAAAACGGGCAGAGTTGATGGACCACTCGATCTTTTTCTGCCGTCACTTTTATACGTTCCTACTGGACATACCTCCCCAGGGATTGGCTTAAGTACAATAAATATTCAAGCTGCCCATTTTACTCCATGTTCTGGAAACTTACAGAAGTCAATGGAAGCAGTCAAACCTGCAACCTGTGAGATTTTGACCAGCCCAAAGAAATCAATAGCCGCTCCAATGATTACAGAGGAGCCAAAAAGAACTAAATCTGCCTGACATCCTAGCTGCCTATCTAGGAGAGTGCTGCAATAATGAACTAAAAGCTGAAGACTTTGGAAGGGAACATGCATTTGATACTTTACCTTTGCACTATAATTATAGTCAGTGACTAAGAAATGAAGCTGATATTATATATTTATGATATGCTTAATGGCTTACTAATATCAGATTTTTGTAAATATGGAATTCTTCGTTTCAACACTGTGGACTTCTCGAACCCAATATAAAAGTTTGGCTTGCACTGCAAAGATTTTTTTCTCCTACCATTCAGTGGTGGAGAAGGATATTGTCGCCATAGTCATGACCTTTATTCACGTTGATTAATAGGTTGGTCTGTTTTGCCTTTTCCCCCCTGTGTTCAAAAATTACCATCTTTCATAAACGTAGAGGAAATGGGAAAAAACGAGGCTGGCATTAGCCCTTTTAGTCATCAGGAAATTATAAAATGCGCACTTGCAGAGTAAGCAATTTTCACAGTCTGCCGGCACATCCATCTTTTTAATGAGCCTTGTTTATAATGTGATGCTACATTTCTCGACACCTAACCTATTTACATCTTTGCCCCCCTTTAATTAAGAGAAGAACCAGTTAAAAGAAAGTAAGACAAAATATTAAAATGATCTGATTAATTCAGCTAGCGGGAGGTTATGGGGATCCAAGGTTATTATAACCTATAAAGGCAGTATGGGAAAAGCTCCATTCATTTATAATTGTATTAGGTGGAGCAAATTAGTGAGCCTGTACACCGATGACAAAAGACCTCTTTCTCTTCTATCTTACCCCCTACCGGAAGGGCGAAATGGCTTAAAGTTAGGCCCCATATTAGGCAAATGAGATCTGATAAATCTTAGCTGTGCACCTAATGAGAATTCGAGAGTTTTGCTGTGCTAATTTGAAAAGATTATCATGGATAGATGGTATGTGCACCTTAATGTCCACTGCTATTGTCTGCTTTCCTTGCTGGGAATGTTCGAAGGGTTAAAGACAAACTTTGCCATGCAGAAAAGGCCTGTGAAGAGAGGCATAATCTACATATCATTAAAGATACAATGACACTAAGCTAGGCAAAAGGGAGAGCACAAGTGTTATGACTTACAGCAGTATTAGACACAAAGCTGTATTATGTATATTACCGGAATTAATTATAGAAGTCCCAAAGCAGTTGAAAATGTTTAACTTTCCCCACACTATGGCTGTATCGGTATGACAGATATCTTTTGTACCCAATGGTTTTGGAGATGTGGAGATGTGGAAACAAATCCTAAGTACCATGATGGAAATTACCAATGAGAGCGTCCCTTCATTACCCAAATGGGGCATTAAAACTAAACTTTTGTAGCGCCACCCCTGCAAGGGCCACTGGCTGATGATGGTCAAAGGCACAGTCACTGTACACTTCCAACACAGATGATGACCATGGTTTTCCCTCATTAGTGCCGAGGCTAGCAGCACACAGAGCACAGTCCAGGCACAATGACACATAGAGGAGTCTAGAAGATGTCTTTTTGTGATTTTATTGTTAAATAATTGGATAGAGTGTAGGGTTGTATGGGATACTCCAGGACCATTAACTGAAACAAGAGGACGCACACACATGCTGCAAACTTTAGGAACAGTGCTTCTACTCAACTCAGAGTACAATCTTCCCGTGACAGAGTAGAAGTGTTCTGATGTATGTACTCCTCAGGAGAGGAACTACTTGACCCAGCTTTCAAGGAGAGTCCTTCCACGAGAAATAGGGAGAAATTGAAGTATGTATGGTACCTTTCAGGAGAGGAACTACTTAGCTCAAAGTCTACAAAACTAGAGGGGACTGGTTGGTACTGTATGTACCTCTCAAGAGGCCCAACAATCCCAATAGTATACAGTCACTAGGATCTTGCAACAGAACAGTACTCACAAGGCCAGGGAGTAGCTATGCCCATTCAGCTTCTTTTAGATGCCTGCCAGTGAGGTTATGTGGGTCGGTTCCTTAGATTAAGCTTCTGGGTGTCCGGTGCACTCTCTGATGTAGGCCCCAGGCTTTTCCATAGCCAGGACCTTGATGAACAGCTACTTGAGACAGCAGAATGACTAGAGGCAGGGGGTAGCTACCCTCCACCTAAACAGGTGGAATCCTTGGAACAAGAAAACATTGCTGTTCTACAACTCAGACTATTTATGTGCTCCTCAGCCACATTCTGAGCACACTTCCCCAGAAATTGGAAGCAGTGCCATAAATATTCATGCTGCCCATTTGCCTTGCTCAACTACTATGTTCCAGAATTTTCTGGAAGGCAGGGGAGAGCAATCACACCTGCAGCCTGCAAAACCCAGAGCAGCCAAAAAAAAGTCAACCACTGCTCCAATTACTACAGAGGACCCAAAAAAACTAATTTTACCTAGCAAACTAACTAGGAGGTAGCTATACTTTTTACAGGAACTATTTTGACCTTTAAATATAAACTATTAACAACTATTGCATCTTATGCAAAAATTACAGGCCTCTTAAAGGCTAACTTCACCTGTTTCATGTTACACCCATATTGAGGGTGGTCTGTAAACACCCAACCTCAAATTACTCCCCCCCCCCATCCATACAGGAGTCGGGGGTAACTCCTGCAGCTCTGTAACCAAAGGTCTGCACCTCGGTTTACACCAGCGGCTGCAGAAAAAAGAGTCAGCAGGATCTTGTGCACACACAATCCCCCACAATCCACTGGTCATGGGTACAATGCTTTCCAAGCTACTAAAAATAATCCATGTACATTGTTAATGAATATGGGTGAATTTATATATATATTTATTTTTAAAAGGTAGAGTTCACACTAGTACAATTCCAGATTTCAACAGGTTCCCAGTTCGTTGCGGCGAAGTGAGACGGAAGTTCGGCTCGCTCCTTCCTCCCGCAGTCTCCTGGGAATTTTCACAGGTCCCAGGAGACTGCTGGACCAATTAGGAGGTGCAGCACGACTCGTATATGTGCAGTGGGAACCAGGCTGTGAAGCCACAAGCTGTCACAGACTGGTGTCCATAGTTGAGACAATGGAGGAAAGAAGGGGAGAAGGGACGGCGCGGGTGAGAACATCGCTGGACTCCGGGACAAGTAATTGTGAGTTTATTAAAAGTCAACAGCTACAGTTTTTGTTGCTGCTGACTCTTAAAAACACAAAAATGGCTGGAACTCCACTTTAACAAAGTTCTGCTGATTTCCATCATTCAATCATATGCAAATGAAAATACTATTTTTTCATGTGATTGTGTATTCTTTGCAAAGTGAATTTTCACTGAATTCACTAACATAAGTGTAGAGTGCAAACTCCTTTGCAAAGCAAAAATCCTCTTTACTTTGGCAAATTAACCCCTTAAGCCCTGTACACACAATGAGAATATTGGACGAATGAGTGTCCTTTTTTTTTTTTTTTTTTTTCATGCTAGCCAAAAGTGAAGAGGTTACTAAAGTTACAAAAATTCTTGTATGACAGAAAGAAAATTTGTATGTGGTGTAATGTATTTGTATTGTATTTTTGTATTTTCGGATGAAAACTGTACTGATTAAACAAAAATCGTATGATTTGGTATCATATGAAAAAAATTTTTGTGCTTGTCCCTTCAAAAAATTTGGAGAGAAAGCTGTGTACTAATGATCAGATTATTGCACGATTGCTTTGAAAGAGGTATTTTTTGTACAATTTTCTGATTGTGTGTACTAGGCTTAAGAATTACTCAAGCCATTTAACACCTATAGCAGATTGACGACCGGGCGGGACACTCGCCATTGTGACTGTGCCTCATATGACGTCCTGTCAAAACGAGCAGCTGAAGCGGCCGCGGAGACGCGCAGCGGTGCGATCTGTCACCGGGTGTGTCCATGGGACACAGCCGATGGCATATCACTACACCAGCCAGTTGCCAGTGTCATGTGACTGCTGTGACCAATCACAGTAAATCACAGGTCAATTGTATACAATGGATGGCTTCCTGTCATGCCATCCATTGTATACAATTGTGTTATTAGGTGTGACTGGCTAAGGCAGTCACATGATACAGACA